AAGCAACGTGTTTCTCACCCTCATGTAGTGAACGGAAAATTGTTTTTACTTCGTCCTTTGTTTCAGCGGCTTATCCATGTGGTCAGTTGTTTCCACATCGATGTTTTTGATGGTCAAATACTCATGGTGAACTGGCTGATATGCGAAACCAAGTAACCGCGTAGCGTTATGGTCGTCCCTCCGCGGAATGCATAGAGGGCACGACTGTTTGATACCCCGGTGCTTTCCAGAATCGTGCGGTGTGCAGCACACGCACGGTAACGCGGCCCTGGTGGGCGCCAGCCGCGTGGAGGAGCACGTGGCGCGCCAGGCGGCCCGGGCCGTGTTCGTCCTCGGGGACGGCACCCAGGAGCCGGCCGAGTGGTGCGCGCCACTCCGCCGACAGGTGCGGCGCGTAACGTGACGAGAATGTAACAGAGGTGTGCTGCAGGGTGCCCTGGGGAAGGAAACTCTTCTCAGTACCAGGGACTTCACACAAAATAATAAAAAAGTCTAACCAGCATGAATTTCAGATTGAGTGAGCTGGTTCTGGTTACTCTGTTGATTCAGCCGTCTGGTGTCGCGATGTTTTCCGAAATGGTGCCGTTTTGAGCGGGTCTGGTTTTGCCTGTGGCGCCGGCGTGCGGGGCTAGAGCCGGCCCAGCGCTGTCCGCTGACCATGGCGCCACCTCACTGTGCCCACTGGGCGTGTTTCCAGGCGGGGCTAGAGCCGGCCCAGCGCTGTCCGCTGACCATGGCGCCACCTCACTGTGCCCACTGGGCGTGTTTCCAGGCGGGGCTAGAGCCGGCCCAGCGCTGTCTGCTGACCATGGCGCCACCTCACTGTGCCCACTGGGCGTGTTTCCAGGCGGGACCGGTCCGACCGTCTGCCCGCAAGCGAGCCGCCACGGACGCCCGGTATGGTAGGTCAGTAAACGGCAGGGCAGGTCAGGACTCCAGGGTAGGTCAGGCCTGGTGGTCCAGGGCGGGTCAGAACTCCGTCGGACACGTCAGTGGCTCTGGGACACGTAAGTACACTGTCGGACATGTCATTATCCGATGGTGTATGTCGGACACGTCAGTAGCTGTCGGACACGTCAGTACACTCGGTCAGGTCGGTACACTGCTGGTCAGGTCAGTACACTGTCGGACCCGTCAGTACACTGTCGGACACGTCAGCACACCGTCGGTTAGGTCGGTACACTGCTGGTCAGGTCAGTACACTGTCGGACATGTCAGTACACAGAGGGACGCGTCAGTACACTGTCCGTCAGGTCAGTACACTGTCGGACACGTCAGCACACCGTCGGTCAGGTTGGTACACTGCTGGTCAGGTCAGTACGCTGTCGGGCACGCCAGTACACAGAGGGACGCATCAGTACACTGTCCGTCAGGTCAGTACGCTGTCGGGCACGTCAGTACACAGAGGGACGCGTCAGTACACTGTCCGTCAGGTCAGTACGCTGTCGGACACGTCGGTACACTGTCGGTCAGGTCAGTGCTCTGTCGGACCCGTTAGTACACTGTCGGACACGTCAGCACACAGTCGGTCAGGTCAGTGCTGTGTGGCGAAGGCCGCCCACCTCGTCATCTCTCCATGGGGCGCGGGCCCGTGAAAGCCCGTCGTGACTGCCCCAGTTGCATCACGCCGGGCGCGCTCGACTGGGGGTCTCCCTTCAGTCCGTCCCTAGTGTCACAAGACTGCTCCCAGCTGTCTTGTGACAGGCATATGCTGCACGCTCTGATGGTACAGATGAGCTGATGTAATGCCGACTGGATGATAGCCACGTGAGCTGTACCCTTGTGGGTCACCCCTGCTGCTGGAGCGACCGGGGTGGCCAGCCTGCTTGCGTTAACAAAAACAGGAGATTACAAATTCAACGTCAACAAGCTTAGTTTTTCGCCGTTGAAGTGTCTGTTGGAATCCCGTAATGTCACTCATATATTTCTGAAGTCTTTTGGCAGTTTCGTCATCCTGCAGCCTGAAAACTGGCGAGACCGGTGGGTCTATGTGGAAAGGCAGACTACATCCTATCATGCAACTCATGCATTATCATGCAGCATTTTGCAACCAAATTCCATTCATTACCCACATAAAACTCCGGAACTAATGGTTCATAGGCCCTGTAGATAACAAAATATTGATATAAGAATCCAAGGGCGGCTGTTAATCAAGCTGCGGGGAGGCTGCGTCACGGATTTGGCGAATGGTACTCCGCTATGCCGGCTCTTCCACCCTCTTGCATTTGCGTACTGCAATCACGTGCCTAGTGTCAAGATGGTACGAGCATGCACGGTTCTCGAACATGACCGCTATCTTCACCTTTATCGCCGCAGATACAGATGGAGCAGATACAGGAGAGCCCTTCACTATCTTGCTGGGTAATCGCGGCTGAGTTGCGTCAGCATTGTCGACCTCCAAACGTTTGACATGACCTAACCCATGGCTCTCCTGTTGGTGAAGTGCCATTTGTCGAATGCAGCTCCGCTGAGTGGCCATCACATTGTCTCGATTGTGGCGGAATCCCGATAATTCAGGCTCTTGTGACCGCACGAAGCAGTTCGGGTCAGGTGTCATTCAGCTCATTGCGAGATTGCATGTCTCAATTGAAATAGCACCGTCGAAATGCTTTCCAAATCCTTTCATGAAAGCTATTCAATTTAATAGAGGTGTCTGCATACCTCTGTGGCATGGCAGTGCATCGTCTCCTCCGCGGTCCCCGCCAACGGCATAATGACGCGGTCGCCGACCGTCTGCGAACCTGCCCTGTTGCGGCATCACCGCGTGTTGAACCCTCACTGGGATACCGGCGTCCGCGGATGTCCGACGGTGTGCGCCGGCCGGCTGGCCGTCCGCGGATGTCCGACGGTGTGCGCCGGCCGGCTGGCCGTCTGCGGACGTCCGACGGTGTGCACCGGCCGGCTGGCCGTCCGCGGATGTCCGACGGTGTGCGCCGGCCGGCTGGCCGTCCGCGGATGTCCGACGGTGTGCGCCGGCCGGCTGGCCGTCTGCGGATGTCCGACGGTGTGCGCCGGCCGGCTGGCCGTCTGCGGACGTCCGACGGTGTGCGCCGGCCGGCTGGCCGTCTGCGGATGTCCGACGGTGTGCGCCGGCCGGCTGGCCGTCCGCGGATGTCCGACGGTGTGCACCGGCCTGCTGGCCGCCGCCATTGTGCGACTGATTATCGTCCGCCCGGCTCCATCCTGCCTCCTTTCGTAATTAGGTCTGCAGTCTGTTGCTATGCACCGAAGGTCACGACAGTCATGAGGCCGCTACGAGTTTCTCAGATATTGTACAAAGTTTGGGCATGGCTGTCCGTCTCAGTGACAAATGCCCAGCTCATATTGAGAGGGATAGAAAGAGGGTGACATTTTATATTGAGGGAGTGAGCGAGGGAGATATTATATAAGCAAATTGAACAGTTTGTCAGTGAGTAATATCTCTTAGTGAGTTCCTCTCGCCGTTTCAGCGCCCATCCAGCCCGTGTCGTGGACCCGGTGCCAACGCTGCCTGCAAAACACCGCAAAACCACCGACAGAGCGGGCCGACACCGCGGGCGCGTCACTGTTCGCTTCTCGCATCGACCTGGGACGAGCGCTGCTCGCGCCGGGGGGCCAGCGGGCGGCGGGTGGGCGGTGGTCGCCGCTCGGGAGGGTACCGACGGCCGGGCGGCAGCCTCTCGGCCGGCGCCGGCCGCCAACGGCGCTGCTCCGGGTGGCCGGAGCGGCGCGGAGAAGTGCGACAGTGCCGGCCAGACGGCCAGCACCGCGCTGAGAGACGCGGTCGGTGAGGGGCCTGCCGACGCCGCTGAAGCCGCGGCTGGACCGCTGCATTCCGCGGTCCCGGAGGCCGCGGCCGGACCGGTGGACTCGGGACCTCACACCGGCGCCGTCCCCGCCCAGGACGCCGCGGGCGCGACCCTGTCGGCGGCGAGCGTGGCGCGGTCGCCGCCGCCCGCCGTCGGCGGCGCCCCGCCGGCTGCCCTGGCGTGTGCCGACAGCCCGCGGCGGGCGTGGTCGACCGACGGTACGCCGGCGGCGGACGCGCTGCTGGACCGGCTGCTGGCATCGCCGGGCCGGCGGCCGCCGCCGCGCCGCCGCGCGCCCGGCGCCGCCCCGCCCGAGTCTGACCCACTGCTTGGCCGCTGGCTGCGCGACGGCAAGGTGTCGATCGTCCAATGACGGCGTGCCGGCCGGGCGGCGGAGGCAGACGCGGAGCGGTGGCTGGCGCGCGGCAGGCGTCCGGTCTCACTAAGGGATGACCTCGAAAGGGATCTGCTGCTAGGAAAGGCCGCCAGGGGTCCACCCTGCTGCCGGTACAAAGGCTGTGAATGTGAAGAAGCCGCGAACGGTGCGCGAACCCCTAGCCTTTTACTCTAACATTTGTAGCTGCGTGCCAGTGGACGGGTCGTAGTGTCCATCGATGGGTTTGGTTTGCTGGTTTGAGGTTTGCTGTGCATGAGTACACGAGCTGTCAATGCATGTTTGTTGATCTGTTTTGTTGTTGAGACGCGCTATCTGTGTTTATTGATATTTGTTAAGATCTACGAACGGACCTAGGAAATCTACAATTTGCACCGTGTGTGCTTAATGTGGACATTTTGTCCATTGTTATTGACGACATTCTTAAGGCCGAGTCATATGATGTTGACTTTCATAGACATCTGTTTATGTGACCATCACGCCGTCCCCCCTCCCCCCGCCCTCTCAATTGATCTGTAGCGCTGCGTGCCCAGCGTGGTAAATATATCCGCAACGTTTCCATTTTTGTGACGATATCAGAGATCCAGATAGAGCAGTCTGTGATCTCCGTGGCTTATCTATGCTATTTTGATCAGCTTCTACGTATCGTCGTCATTGGATGATTCTGTGATCCCGAACCTCCGTTCAGCCAGCGAGTCCATGCATAGGCATCTCGTCCGCGCCTTCAAAAGGAGAAGATTGCTGCTTCAGACCTGCACTCATGCCGGGTTTACGTGATGACGAGGGGCCGCACGACAACCGCCACGCATTGGAAGAAATTCTGATGACAAGTATTTATTACATTCAAGTACAAGCTAGATATAAAAGATGATGCACCTTGAGAAAGGAAACGCTCCGCTGTTGCCTCTAATCAAGCTTACACGTACCGAACCGATTGAGAAAAGGAGCAGATGCTGTTGATCAAATAAATCATATGACGGCCTCTTTGGGATAAGCGATCTAGCTGATGTGTCGCCGGGCTTCCAGGTGAGACAAAGCGAAACGCAACAAGAACAACAGTCATATGGCACACGACATTTTGATGACAAAACCTAAGTTCACATTTGGCCAAGCCCGAGAGCGGCTGATAAACTATTGATCGTTCAAGCACGTATTCTCTGAGCAATCCGTCAGGAACATTGGTGGAGACAGCAGAAGATGGCAGAACACGCAACAGTACAACGAAACGTCCAACACTAACACAACGCCGACGATGGCTGCGCTCCGTCATTTGCGAGTGGCCACTTGAAACCTGACGATGTAGGCACTTGCTATGTGAACGGTACGGCAAATCTGGAAAGTACGCCGACGGAGCAGGGAGGCGGTGCCTCAGCGTGAACACACCACAGAAGAGAGAATCAGGATTTGCCGCTTGTAGGATAATACTAGCATCTACCGTCGCTCTGACTTATCCACATGGTTTACAATATGTCTGGCGGCAGGAAGGCTATTATCATCATTTAACATTCAAGATAGGACAATACAAGTACAACGTATCACAATGGCCCTCATACACATGGCCAGCAAAATATCTTCCATCACAAAATCATCCGTCAATTTCAATCTTCAATCAAGCCCGATCCTCAATCACAAAGTAAAGCTTCACGCGGCGACCGCCCAGCCGCTGGAGGCGCCACGACAACGTGTCCGCAACCACAGCTTCCGTAAGCTGTCCCACGATGGCAGCACTGCAGCGCGTCCACACTCACTCGCTCACGCACGCCTGTACACGCATTTACACAGGCTATTGGCGTCGTCGGCGACTCAGCCGGGCACCAGCCTCAGTAACAGGAGACCTATGCTGACGGCTAGCGCTGCGCATGAGTCCAAGCTCCCAGCCGCCGACTTAAGTCCTCCCTTTTTCGCCACACCGTCGTTCGGGTGTTTGTTTTTGTCGAACTCGTCTGCAACAGGAATCGGCGTGAGAGACGACACCGCATACCAATCCGAAGACGTGCCCGACCGCAATTCGCCAACGCTACCGCTCTTTTCTCCATCACATTGCTGTCCCGACGGCTAAACTGAACAGCGTCACTCCAAGCGAACACAAAACCCTTCTGCAAGTGGCTTACCTTGTCCCGGTCGTGACAGCACCGCGCCATCACGACCGAACTCATCACACGCGAGACACCCGTCTCCCCTGACGGCGGCGGTTTACCTGTCTTTTTAGTGGTGGCCTTGACGTTGATGGAAGGCACGTGCAGGCCGTACAGGTCGTGCGTGCCCTTGTACGAGTGGCGCGTGGTCGGGCGCGCCGTGCTGACCGCCGTCGTCCGCGCCGACAGCCAGTCGGGCGTCGCGGTCGACGCCGCCTCGTCGGCCGGCAGCGGCTGCTGCGGCCCCGGCCCGGGCAGAGCACCTGTCGAGGGCGCGGCAACACGTCAGCCACGGGGCCGACAAAGGTCTCCAGAGTGCCGGACACGCGTCGGCCGTCGGTGTGAGGCTCGGGTCATGTGGCACGTCCAACGCTTATGGGTGAGCAAAAAATTGTTGCAAATTTATGGGCATGCGTTTGCATCACATATGGGGTGATGGATGATAATTGTATATCAGTGTTATGATCCGCGGCTTCTTGCGACAGCTCAGTGAGCGCTCATGTTCGCGGCTCACCTGCTGCGTCCACCCGTGGAACGTCTCCGAATAATCCACGTTGACATCCATGCCATGCAAGCATTCCGAAGTGCAACAATCGGCCTTCACGACCTTGCCAAACCAGTCCGATCCGCAAGCGACGATAACCGATAGACGATATCTCATGCAGCGACTGTGACCACCACCGCGTGCACATTGCATCAGCTGCTCCGCCGGTAGATCTGCGGCGTCACCCCTCGGCTGAACAGGATGTCACTCCGGAACGTTCCCGAGCTGATGTGCCGTCGCAGCTGACTGGCCCGCACGTGTCGCCGGCATGCGAGCCGCGCCGCGCCGCGCCGCCAGATCCATGCCGCCCGCGCCGCGCCGCACCGCTAGATCCATGCCAGCCCGTGCCGCGCCGCGCCGCCAGATCCATGCCAGCCGCGCCGCGCCGCGCTGTTAGATCCATGCCAGCCCGTGCCGCGCCGCGCCGCCAGATCCATGCCGCCCGCGCCGCGCCGCGCCGCTAGATCCATGCCAGCCCGTGCCGCGCCGCGCCGCTAGATCCATGCCAGCCCGTGCCGCGCCGCGCCGCCAGATCCATGCCACCCGCGCCGCGCCGCGCTGTTAGATCCATGCCAGCTCGTGCGCGCCGCGCTGCCAGATTCACGCCAGCCGCGTCGCGCCGCGGTGTTAGATCCATGCCAGCTCGTGCGCGCCGCGCTGCCAGATTCACGCCAGCTCGTGCCGCCAGTATGGTCATGGGAGCCTTCGGCCGCGGACGGCCTGGCCGATAGCGAGCTACCAGAGGGCCGAGCGACCCGCCTGAGTCACCGCCTCGCCCATCACCCCTCCGTGCCTCCCTCGCTCACCGGTGCCGTGGTCGACGATGTGGTTCTGCTCCGTCTCGTTGCAGCACACCTTGAAGACAACCTTCATGTTGTGCGTGGAGCAGCGACCGCCGATGCGACGCAGCATGTCGCCCCGGGCGGATGTCGCTGCAATAGACGGACGGGTCGTGAGGGCACGCTCCCAGAGATGTCACGCGGGGCACGTGACCCCACCTGGCCGGCTGCCTCCCTACCCTTGGGCAGATATGATGTCCAAGTTGTGTTGCATCACGATATAGGCGTGAGCGATACAATGGATGGGGTGACGGTGGTGCTTGGGATTATTCGTGACCAGTCGCCGGCGCACGTCGCTTTGAAACCGCACACGGGGCACCAGCAGCAGGTACTCTGAACGTATAAAGAGTGAAGTGCAGACAGTGAATTGACGCTTGCACCCGGAGCAGCTCTTCCGGAAGTCGACATCCAGGCTCACAAACATGCAGACAAACACAAACGAGACGCGTGAGGACGGAGCCGGGAAGGGCGGGCTGCTGTTGGCAATCGCGTCATCCTGGCAGTCGCTGCTGAATGCGCACACGGAGGCCGGGCGGGGGCGAGCGGGCAGGCCGCCGCCTCCACCGCTGAGTTAGGCCGCAGCAGGACCGCAAGGCAGAGAGAGGGGAGTCGGTACAGTTCGCCGCCGGGCTGGGCGGTAAGGGCCGCATCGTAGACGGGCTGGAGGGCAGCTAAACGCCCAGGCAAGCGGCGGCAAGGTGCAGGAGGCATGCAGCTGGAGGTGGAGTGCATAGCTGCAGGGTGGTGAATGGCGGTGCTTTACATGCACCAGCTGAGCGAAACGAGGCTACATTGCACGCCAGGCCACACGTAGTTACCGTTCTTTCCGATGAACCGCGCTTGAAAAGAGAGGAACATTTCGCTCAACCGCACGATCAGAACATGTACGAACATTAACATCGTATCACGCACTGCTACGGTTCAATCAGCTTGAATTACATGAGCACGTTCATTCACGATAACGAACATGACTCAACAAGCTCCCCTTCCCCCGCTTGCTACAAGTTACTACCTAACAGCAGACACTCAACGCTGTTGTCTGAGCAGAGACAGCGTCAGCGGATGGTGGGGCGCCCTTACAGATAAAGAAGTAGTCCTGCCCGGGCCTGAACTCCAGGCCGCCCGGCTGCGGTGTGAACGACCGGAACGTGATGGTGAAGAACATCAGCTTGTACGGCTTGTCGCAGACGGCGATGATGCGCGGGTTGGGGTTAGTGATACGGCACGTGTCGTACTCCTCCTTGGAGACCTGCGGTGAAAAAGGCGCGGTCAGCTCAGGCTGTGGCGCGGTCAGCTCAGGCTGCGGCACGGTCAGCTCAGGCTGCGGCACGGTCAGCACAGGCCGCGGCGCGGTCAGCTCAGGCCGCGGCGCGGTCAGCTCAGACAGCGGCGCGGTCAGCTCAGGCTGCGGCGCGGTCAGCACAGGCCGCGCGGACCATCAGTGACGTGGCGCTCTTATGTCGACATAAACCCGGCCGCCTCAAGCTTCCCGTGACTGGGGCCCGGCTCAGCACAGCGTGGCTGCATCATGGGAGGCGAGGAGGTTCAGCTGGGCTGCTCAGGCGCCATTCACTCGGTTTAATCGCCCGATAAAGCTCGCGAGATGATAGGCGCCGTCGCCAGAGGGCTGAGACCCCCGCCCTGCACCGCCGGCCTCGACACCCACGGCTGAGACGAAATACCACCTACACCTTCTTGACAGAGTGTTCAGCGACGACCTTCGCCCTGACACCACTGTCAGACCGCCACTGCGGAGCGAGTTCGCCTTCGCCGCCGCCCTGACGCACGGCCAGCCTGCTCTGGTCTATGTACGCGACGGACCGCCAGGCCCCGAGGGGCGCGGACGCACGCCGCGCGGTCCACGCCAGCCTGTGGCGCGCGCCGCCGCCGCCGCCGCCGCCGCCGCCCGCGCCGCGCGCCGATCCGCTTAACTGGAGTGCGCCGCGCCAAGTGGCCGGCTTTGAGCGCGCCGGCGGGCAGCGATTTCGTTATGAACTGACGTGAAGAGGATTCAATGAGCCGGGCCGGACCGGCCGGGAGAGACACCGACGCGGTGGGGGACGACCGGACAAAGCGGTCCCGAGGGCGCCTGAATGGCGGCGCCGGCGCGGCCCGGCTCGCCAGGCTCAGGTGGAGGATTATCGGCTGGTCTGTCTCCAGCTGGCGCGCGCGCCGGAGGACGGGGAGGCGCGGCGCCGGCAGGACGACGGAGGAGCGGGACTGGTGCTGCGGGGAGCGCGAACGGGAGAACAAGCAGAGGCAGAGGAGAGAGAGAGAGAGATAGAGAGAGAGAGAGAGAGAGAGAAGAGAGATTAGATAGAGAGAGAGAGAGAGAGAGAGAGAGAGAGAGAGAGGAGATAGAGAGAGAGAGAGAGAGATATAGGAGAGAGAGAGAGAGAGAGAGAGAGAGAGAGGAGAGAGAGAGAGAGAGAGAGAGAGAGAGAGAGAGAGAGAGAGAGAGAGAGAGAGAGAGAGAGAGAGAGAGAGAGAGAGAGAGAGAGAGAGAGAGAGAGAGAGAGAGAGAGAGAGAGAGAGAGAAGAGGGAAGGAGGGGAGATTGTCATGAAGAGGAGGCAGAGTAAAAGCGAGGAAATTACACTAACTGACGTTCAGGAGCTGCTGCGGTTTGCGCCCTTCAGCCTTCAGACTGGACGTCTGATCAAGCTGCGAACGGCCGGCAGCCTCCGTGCCGCTGGACGCGCGGCTCGGCGGCGCGGCGTCGGAGCCGGGCGGTCAGGCGCCGGCGGCCCAGGTCTGTTTCGGCCGGCCAGTCACGACCGATTCATGTCGCTTCGACATGCAACGCGCCCGGCGGTGACGCGGACCGCACCCCCGTCTGCAGCAAGGGGGCGCTCCCTGAACCCCGCGGCGCCACCGGAGCGCGCACCGCCGTATACGGGACGGACGCGGCGCGGGTGGGGACGCGCCGCATTCAGATGCGCCCCTGACGACCGGTGATGATTGGCTCCTGGAGGTGTGCGGCGGGGGGGGGGGGGACTCTGCAGCGTCCGCAAGGCGGGAGCTCCGGCTGCGCCACTGCCGCGGCGCGTCGTAACGTGCGTCATGGCTGGCGGTGGACGCACCGTCAGCTGGCCGACGCCATTTTCCCGTTCAAGATCAATTATAGTCGGCGGCCTTGGCGCTAAACGCGCGAACGGACGCGGTGTTAACACGGCCGGACTGGCCGGCGGAAGGCCCACCGGCGCGGGGACAGGAGAGGCCACCGACTGGCCCAGGCGATTCACGGTTCAAATGGTGGGAAAGATACGCTATCTGATGCTTGGTAAGAGGCGCAGCATCACAGTGTCAGACGCGAACCAGGCGCAGCATCGTAATGTCAGACGGGGACCAGGCGCAGTATCACATTGTCAAACGAGGCCAGGCGCAGTACCACAGTGTCGGAAGCAAACCAGGTGCAGTATCATAATGTCAGACGGGGACCAGGCGCGGTACCACAGTGTCAGACGCGTACCACACGCAATATCACAGTAATCCGTGAAACACACAAGTGAGCGCCGCACGTAACCATGTGAATCACAGTAGACTGGTCATTGCTCAATTTACTTCGTATGATATGCCAGAGACACGTCACTGGAAACACGTGTCAAAACAGATGCAAGCAGGACACAGCACAATGTTCTAAAGTCATCAGCAGTTAACGGCATGCGGAGAAAACATATATAAAAGCAGCAGTTGCTTACGTTATAGATGATGTATTTCTCGGTGTCCTCCTCCCTAGTCCACTCGTTGTAGCTGGGGCAAATGATGGTCACTTGATCGTACTCGAACAAGTTGTTCCCTTTATTCACGTCGATGATGTGATCTGTATTGCTGATCTGGAATCTGCAAAAAGAGAAACCGCCGGTCATCACGTGACCGCGCGAGTCGCGACCCGGTCCCGTCAATTACCCCACTCCCGCCTTCAACCGGACGCATTCCACCGCTTCCCACGACTGCGGAGCCGCCGCAAAAACGGGCTCGTGTTGCAGCTGAGCTGCCATCGATCAGCGCACGTGTCAGGCCGCGGCGGCCGAGCCCGGCGCTGAGAGTCGGCCGCGTCCACGCCCGTCTGATGAGGGGTGGAGCGCCGTGCACGGCTCGTCACTTTCACCGGTCTCTGCGGCGTCCGAGCCTCGGAGGCGGCCCAGCGCGGGTGGGAGGACACCGCGGTGCTGCGGTGGGTGAGCGGTCGGCAGGCAGCGCGCGAGCACTCGCTCATCGCTCCCGCTCGGGACGGCGTCGGCGCCGTGATAGACGCTTCGAGTTGATGCTGCGGGAAGGATCAGGTGCCGCAGCCAAGCCGACCAGCCGCAGGACCGCAGGCTCTGTTTTAGAGCCGGTCGCAAGCAATCGCGGACGTAGATAAGGACTGCTGTCGGCCTTCGGCGTGATGGCAACACTCACTGCTCGCAGCTCGATTCTGAGGATGCACGCACGCCAGACACTGGCATTCTCTGACCGGTCTGAGTGGCGCCGTATCGAGCCCCGTCCTGGTCATTGGGCCAAATTGGGCCGCTATCGGGCCGACCACGCCGGTCAGTTTGTTCAGCTCATATTGACTGTGCGCCGGGGATAAGGATTTCCTGCGGCCAGGGCGTTTGCTCTGGCCACCGCGGTGTCGGATGTCGCCTTTGTAGCTGCGGCCTGTTTGGCAAATCGGAACTGGATGGCCGAGGGCACACATGGCTGGTATGCCGGTCAATAATGTCGGGGGTCCAAGTCAAACAGGCGGCCGGGGCCCCTCCAGCAGGGCAGGATATCCAGCCTGCGCCCCGGAAATGGCAGGATATCCAGCCCGCGCCCAGCACAGTAGTATCTAGCACAGTTATAGGTTTGAAAATAGTCAAATGTTCAGCGTTGGCCTCTGAAATAGAAGACCATCGCCGGAAGCTGATGAATAGCAGGCTGACCCTTCCGGAAATGACAGAACGTGTTAGTTATGCCGACGTCAGTGGTCATGTGACAATGTGGCAAGATTGCAAACGTGTAACTGGCCGGATATCTGGCACCGACCGGATATTGCACAAAGTTTTGCTGCTGCCGCTAGGACATCCCCCGCCGACCAGCTGGCGCCGCAGGAGACACGTGAAAGCCGTGTCGGCGTGGGACGCTTAGCATGCACAGTTATCAGCCTCTAAATCACCGCGACAATGTTATCCAGTGTTCAGCAGCGCGAATAAGCCTGATCTGTGGCGCTGCCAGAAAGAGCGGCCCGACTTTTACGAGCCAACAGACGATGTGCGCTCACCGAAAACCCGCCGAATAAGAGCCGACGGCGGGACGGCGAACAACAGCCGGCTCGGTGGACAGGAGCAGCGCCACAGCGGTGAGCCGTGCCAATGCACAACAAATCCCGGGGATGAACAGCGCCCGCAGCCGCGCCTGCCGCCAGCTCCGCGTCCAACGGGGCATTTGCCGCCGCCAGCTCCGCGTCCAACGGGGCATTTGCTGCCGACACGCGGGGCGGCTCGCACGCACCTTGTTCACGCCGACCGCGCCGGGCACGGGGGCGCCGAGCGGACGGTGGGCCAGGTAGAGGCCAATCTCGGCCGGCCGGCCCGGCGGGCTCACACCTGCCGCGCGGGACTCGGCGCCCGGCCGCAAACAAGCCGCGAGGCGGCAAGCGCGGCGCAGAACCCGACACTGCCGCTCGCCCCGCTCGTGACGCCGCGGCGCGGTGCGGCCGGGGTGAGCGTGGGGTCTCGCTCGTCCCTACAACACAGGGCCCGACCCTGCCGCCCCCGCCGCCCAGCCTCTGCCCGGGCCGCTCCTCCCCAGCTCCTCTCGCATCTCCTCCCTCGCGCCCGGCCGCCGCTCTCTCCAGATCGGTATCGCGCCGCCGCCGGCGGCCGCCGCGCGGCGACGCGCGCCACTTCAGCCCCCGACCCAGATCGGGCGCCGCGCCACGTCAGCCCGGCGGCGCTACTCGCCGCGGCGCCGCTACAAGCCGCGAACACGGCTGCCGACGCATCCCGACCGGCTGCGGTGCAGTCGACCGAGCGGAGGGCGGCGATCGCTGCGCTGCCCGCATCCTCGCCTGCAGGGCTCCGCCCAGCGCGGCATTGTGCAATTACGGCGCCGCCGCGCCGGCTGACAGCGCGTGCAGCGCGGACGTCGCGTCTGGTTAGCCGGCACGCCACGCCGCGCGCAGGGGAGCGGTGCGCTGCCGGCCACCGCTGCCCAGAAGCCGCCGCCGGCTCGCGACAGTTGAGCCGCCGGTTTTTGCCGCCCGGTCTCGAGCGTAATAAGCTCGCGATATTGAGCGGCGCGGCGGGCCGAGAGGAGGCGCGACGATCAGTCTGGTGCGCAGCCGGGCGGACGGCGCCGGGCGAGCCGCAGGTGGCGACACCTGTCCGTCGTGGGACGAAGCTCGCCCGGCAGCGGCTGAGCGGCCGACAGGACGGTACACGACAGCGGCTGTCGTCACATGCCGGCTTGTCCACCGTGTCGGCGACCTGCCGACGTCCGCGGAGAAAAGGCGCGCATAAATGGGTGCTGGTGCACGCCCGTTCTCCACCAGACGTCTCAGCAATGCTTTTCGTCAGCACCTAGCCGACGTAGTCTGGCGCTGGCTGAGGGACCTCAGTGAGCCAGCAGAGTCGCAACCGCGACGCGACGCCCACGACAGCGAGATGGCGCCTCGCGCCGAAGGCCGGACCGGACGGGAAGAGAGTGAGCGGGCGGGGCAGCACTCCAGACGTGGCTGATGTGGCGCAGAGACCATTGTGGCGCGGCGGCCGATGTGGCGCGACGGCCAATGCGGTGCAGCAGCCATTAGCGGTGAATAGGCGGCGGTGGTGGGGGGAGGGCTCCTGCCAATCGCGCGGCTGGTGCAGCGGCGCCGCTCGTTGGCCAGCCGCCGGCGCCGAGGACTCCTCTCGGCGGTCTGCGCCGCCGTCTGACCGAGCCGCCGGTCGGCCAATCTCCCGCGCGCAGGACCACCCGGGTCCGGCCCCGCGTCATCAGAAGAGAACGGAGCTGCTCTGCGACACACCCACGTGGGAGCGCTCGAGCGTGAGAACACTCGAGCTCTCGTACGTTGAGCTCTCTCACTTACGAACCCGCGCATGCGTACCCCGCGCGCGACCGGGCACCCGCGGACGCGTGCATGGCCGCTCGCGTGTTTGCGTGCCGCGCCGGGTTTGTCACCATCCCGGGGCGGCGCCGCGGGCGCTTGGTCATGGCGCGTAAGTGGCGGCCAGCCGCAGACGCCGCCGCGGTCGCGGCTACGACCGCCGCTCGACGACGGCCGCTTCCGCCGGCGCGTCGACCACCCATTAACCGCGCACTGGCGCGCAACGGGCTTCTGCCGACTTGTTACGGCTTCTAAGTAATGGAAAATAAAAATGCGACAGGTCGGCAGCGGCTGCCGGGATTAGCAATCACGCAGGAGGGCGGCCGCCGGCCGGGCAGACCGTGAGAAGCCCCGGGCGCGGCCTGGCCGTAGGTGCTGATTGGAAGAGCATCAGCCAACCCGGACAAGATTTCACCGGGTGGAGGGAGGGAGAGAAGAGGGGAGGCGATGGAGAGAGGGAGGAAGACAGAAAGGGGAGAAACAGAGAGGGGGAAAGGGGAGCAGAGGGTGTAAGATGGAGATCGAGAGAAAGAGGAAGGAAAAATAGAAAAACAGAAAAAGAGCAAGAGACAGGCATTGATAAAGAATAGACGAAGCAAGGATAAAGGGCAAGGGGAATGATATCAAATAAAGATTGCACACTCGCTCAGTGTTGCGGAACGTCATTGTTAACGAAACGTACCATTTTAGTCGAATCGGTTCCTTTGTTCCGAGGATCCGCTCTGTTTGAGGCGCCCATTCAAGTGATAGGTTGTCAATAGCGGAAGATCCCGACGCCGCCGCCGTCCGGGGCGCGCCGGCATGGCCTACACCCCTGACCGCCGCCGCGGTCGGGTAAGCAGAACCGCCCGAAGTATGCAGATCGCGACGGGTGTGGGAACGGCGATGGACCTATAATTTTGGTGAACAGTCGACCGCACCGGATCGTTTAGCTAATAACACCGGCTGCAGGAGTTTACGAGGGTTACGGAGTGGCGCCGGCGGCGCGGCGCAGAATGCGACCCGCTCCGCGCGGCGCGCAGGCAGCGCAGACAGCCGGCTTGCGCTGCTGCCGGACTGGGAGCGGCGACCGGATATCGATTTTGTGAGCCTCGGACCGCGGCCGAGCAGCGCGGAGAGTCGCGGCTGGCACGAGTCGGCGGCCGCTAGAGCGGAGGGGTACCGGAGCAGCGGACGCTGGGCCGCCCCTGGCGAATGCAATCCAGCAGGTTATCGCTGATTCTCACGCCTTTGGAGGCGCTGGGTGGTGAGTACTCGGCCGTGAGAAGCGAGCCCGGAACGACTGGATCCAAAGGGCCGCACATGATCCGCATAAATGTCGGCAGGACAAAGCATAGCTGCCGCTTTGGCCAGGCGCCAATTAAAACGGACTGGACACAGCACAAACAAACAGACTAACTGACTGGCACAGCTGTTTTGGCCGTTCGTCATTTATTACAGATCAAACACACCGTCGCTCTTCGAACCACAGGTTTCATGTCCGGGGTGCGCGGGGTGGTAGCCAACGATCACATATCTAAAGATGTGTCTGCGGCTCGGGGTCACCTGTGCCGACACCAGTTGGGTATGCCGAATTCCTATGTTGATGTCTGACCGCAGCATCGTAAACTAATTACATATTTGCAATGCACGGTTGATTATCTGCATGCTGCAGCGCTGATACGCTGTTATAAGTGTACGAAGCATACCACTGCATTGCAAAATATTCCATAAACACTTGGGCCAAGGCCGAAGAAGGCAAGTCCAGACGAAAGTGAACTAACTAAAC